AGTTGCTGGATTAATCTTTTCTCTTTCTCTATTTTTAATTTATGGGACAACCACTTTCCTGGCTTATTTGCTGATTCAAAAAAATAGCGTTTGAGAGTTTTTCAGTTGCATGCATTTTCCTCAATATCTATCAAATTTAATTCATGTCTAATCCTCCCTATTTCTTTTCTTAGCTTCCATATTTTTTGAATCTTTTTGGAGCTCATATTCAATTTTTTTAACCTTTTCTTGTAATTCGTTCTGTTTCTTCCATTTTCTTTGTTTTTCTTAGCCATATAGGCTATTGATATGCCTCTCATGAAGGCCTTTGTGGTGTCCCATAAATTTTGTAGACTAGTATGTTGTTTTAAATTAACTTTAAAAAATGTTTCTAATTCATCTTTAATTCTTTTAATATATTCCTTTTCTTTTGTTATTTGTGTATTTAGTATCTACTTTTCCTTTTATTCTGTCCTTTCCATGTGGTTTTTACGGGGCTATGGTTGGCCCATATATTTGGCATTATTTCTACTTCACTAATGTCTTTCTCAATTTCCCCATTCACCCACACCATATTGCTTCTGGACCAAGATTTTTGTGGACTAGAATAAAATGTAAATTTCTTCTCATTTGGATGCCTCTTCCTCCATATGTCTTCCAAATTGTTCTCTTGCGTAAAATCGAAAAAGGGTTTTGGTAGAATTCTCTTTTTCGTCTTCCTGGTCTCTTCCATACTAATGTAATCTTTTTTAACATCAACAATGGCATTGAAGTCACCTATCAAGCAAATATTTTCTTCACCTACACTAATTATTTTATCATATAGTCTCTTATAAAACTTCTTCTGGTTATCGTTAGGGGCATATATCCCCGCCAATAGTAATTGTTTTTGATGCAAATTAATTTGTATCATTAAAATTCTGCCTTGTTCATCTGCATATTTTTTTTTTGCATTTATCCCTTTTTTTTACATAAATTGCTACCCCCCTTTTCTTTTGATCTGCCAATGCTGTAAATAATACATCCAACTTGGGATATTCTAAATATTTTTTGTGTTGTTTTTGGATATGTACCTCCTGCAGGCATATAATGTTGACGTTTTGTTTAGTTAGTTTAGTTAATATTTGTTTCCTCTTGATCTGGGAGGTTAATCTGTTGATGTTGAGAGTAATTTAATCTCTTCTTCCATTGTTGATTCTGAGTCTACCTAAATCTTCTGTTGGTTCTTGCTTCTCTTTGGGGTCTTACTCTTAGTCCTTCTCTCCTTGGGTATTCTTTTCTTTGCCTCTCTCTTCTTGATCCGTTTCCTGTATTCCTTGTTGTTGGTCTTCTTGTTGGTCCTCCTTACTCTTGCTTTCTGACTCTTTGCTGCTCTCCTCTTCCTCTATTTCTATCAACATCATAAAATTCTTGTGCCTTTTCAATGCTGTCAATTTTTACTCTTCTTTCTTGCCATGTCACCAGCATTCCTTCGGGGACCAGCCATCGGAATCAGATGTTTCGTTTATTCAGGAATATCAACCAGAGATCTTTAGTCCTTTCTCAGCTCTCTTACCCGCCTCGGGATATGTTTCAAGGTCGTGATCGCTTTTTCTTTGTACACCATCGGCTCGTCCTTTGTGATTCTATATACAATATCTCTTACATTTTTTCTGGCAAACCTGATATGCACCTCTCTAGGCAGCTAGTTTCGTCTGGCGCAGTTTGTATGAATTTGAAAAACCTCATCTGATTCTTTCACTATTTCCTGTTCGTCCCTTTGCAATGCCTCTGCTATTAAGTGGGACATTATGGCTCCCAGATCTTCATCTTTGGATTCCAATACATTTTGGAACCTCAAATAGAATGCTGCATGTTCCATTTCGAGATGGATAATCGAATCCTCTAAATCACTGTTCATCTGTTACTTTTCTATCCATCCCTTCCAATCTCTTGCCTCTTTGCTCGTCTTTGATTTCTATATTCCTTATTTTTTGTTCATTCTTCTCCATTGTCTGTTGAATCGTTCCTTTCTTGTCATCCAGATTTTGGATCTTACCCTTCATTTCTCCCATTTCCATCTTCATCTCTGTGTGGTTGTTTACCATTGTCTCCTGCATTTTAAGCATCGTTTCCTGAATAGCTGTTAATGTTGCTTGCATCATCTGCATGTTAGCCGCATTGTTTGTTTTCTCTGTGTTCAGCATTCCTTCTATTGTTTTTTGGCCTGCTGGAGACACAATAGACGCTGATGAACCAGAAATCAGTTTTTTCCCTTTCAAGGTCATTGTTGTAGTACTGGTTATGTTCCTAACTTTGTTGTAGATATCTTCCCACTTTACCATTCACTATTTAACTTTCCTTTCATTATCAATTCTATTCAATAATTTCCCTTAAAATATATCTTTTCACCTCTCCAACTTATGATACTCTAAATTATTCAAAATTGATTCAATCTTCTATAAAGTCTAAAACTAACTGAATCACCAATATTAAAGAAGAGAAAGAAGAGAGAGAGCAAAAGGGATGGCAGAAAAGATAGTATCAAAATAAGAAAGAAAAGAAACTACTTAGAAAGTTAACAAGGGGTTCTAGAGAACTGGATAGAACCAGTAGAATCCCACCCCTGATGCCAGTGAAGCGAAGTATGCTAAAGATGACAGGGCTGACAATAAGCTTGAAATGTGTTGGAGCTGTCAAAAAAGCAAATGCAATCCTAGGCTGCCACAACAGGTGGATAGAATCAAGATCATGTGAAGAGTTAGTACCCCTTTATAATACCACACTTTGAATATTGCATTCAGTTTTGATTGCCGCAATATAAAAAAGATGTTGGTCTCATCTGGAAACATCTGGAAAGAGTGCAGAGAAGAGCAACAAAGATGATTAGAAGACTGTAGGCCAAAACATTTCAAGAATGATTGCAGGAATTGGGTATGCCTAGCCTATTGAAGAGAAGGGTTAGGGTGACATGATAGTAGTCTTCAAATATCTAAAGGACTGCCACAAAGAAGACAGGATCAACTTATTCTCCAAATCACCTAAAGTTAGGACAAGAAGCAATGGATGGAAACTAATCAAGAAGAGAACCAACATAGAAGTAAAAAGAAATTTTGTGACAATTGGAATAATTAATCACTGGAACAGCATGCCTTCAGAAGTTGTGGGTTATTGGATGCTTTTAAGGAGAGATTGGACAGCCCTTTGTCCGGAATGATATGTCTCCTGCTTGAGCAGGGGGGTGCACTAGGAGACCTCTAAGGTCCTTCCAAATCTGTTATTCTGCTCTGTAAATATTTCTTTACACCCAGCCATACAAAGCATAACCGCTAATGATTGATTGATAAGTATTATTTATTTTCCACATATATCTCACATTTCATAACAGGTACCAAATAATATCAGTAACAATTGTGTCAAACCATTGAAAAAATGAAGTATTGAAGTATGTCAACAAAATTGCTAAAAACAGTAAGCAAGAAAAATGCCTTTGCTCCTAGCACAATAATTAGCCATGATAACCACTCATTAAATGCCTAATTCCTTTTTATGGCTGCTTTGGAGTAGCAATGGAGTCAATATGCAATAACTAAAGCTGCTGATGCCAGAGAAATCCAGAACTGTAGCTGCCAACACACGAAGAATTACAATCCATCTAATCTTCCAGAGGACTACATCTTACTTCATAAAATAGAAGCTTTCCTTTTTTAACAATATGTAATTACTATGGCCATACTTATTTTCACAGGAGCAGTCAGTAGCTGAAGAAATCCAGAATTGTGTGCAGAGTACTAACCATATTAAAGGAAGTATGGAAAACTTCAGTCTCACTCACTTAAGTGTCATTCTCTTTTATGAAATGGATTGAATAGGACTGACTTCCTGTATTTGGTTGCCAAGCACCCCACACAACAAACTCTAGATCAGTAATATGGCTTTCCTTGTGTGTCATATAAATTAATAAATTTAGGGTTGGCATTTTCTTTGCTACAGTGAGAAGGACGCATGATGTGCTGAAGAAATCAAGACTTAACCTAGAGTTATGTTCAATCTAACCACTCCTTCATAAAATGCTGGTATTCCAGAGCTGAGGAGAGAGAGATTGAAAAGCTGTTAGTCTCCTAGTCCTGGAGAGGAAGCCTCCAGGTTGTGGAACATATTCTCATTACTGGAATCCATTAATTGGCCCACAAAGGCGTTAAAGCTCATCTGAGAAGATTTATGCTTCTCATTCTTGCTTTTTACATAATTTTGTTTTTATCTAAAAAGATAGTATTATCTAATCCTAAAGCTCAGTCTTTAATATATTGACTTCACGATGAGTGTCTTTAGCTGTTTACCTCTTTATACAAATAGCCTGATTATTGACAGCATAAACAGGTATCCTGCTCTTCTGTTCATATCATCTACTTTTGGTCTACATTGCTGTAATCAAACCATTAAACTCTAACCAAGGGCATTAGAATATGTTAAAACAGTACTGTGAATGCTTGAGGGTAGGAGACAACGTCTAATAGAAATGTTAACATCTCTTTTTTACATCATTCATTTCTAGGAGATGTCCCACCAGCCTAAATTAATTTATTCCATTAGCCGTGGAAGAAATGAATCCATTCATATCTCCAGAAAAAAAAGATGGAGAAAGAAAAATAGACACAACATTTAGTCCAAATCCTAAGCAGCAAAAGCAAAGACTACCAAATCATCATTGCCCAGATCATGGATTCCAGAATTCATCCCAAACCTCACTATTACTTTGGCAACCAACTCTGGCAAGTGCAGTGTACTTATGTACTCAAGTGGCATAGCACACAGGTTTTTCAATCATTTCTTCATATGCTCTGTTGCGGGACTCATTGGGAAATTTATTTGGAAATACTCGACAGTAACAAATAGAATTACTATCAAAAATGTCCTAAGTTCTTCATTTAAATGACTGTGGCAAGAAAAAGCTATTTTTACTCCATATAAATGGAGTATATATATTTGTATACTCCATATAAATAGCTTTAATCTTGTTATTGTGCAATAACAAGACTAAAGCTATTTATATGGAGTATATATGCATAGATACTAGACCTTAGCCACAAATGCTATTCTCAAAGAAAAGGGTACTCCAAGAACGGCATCCTCAGAGACTGAGTTCCAAAGGTACCTTAGTCTTACTGTTGGATTCTTTGGAGGATGGTGCAAAAGTTCATTTATAATGTTAGGATTAGGGAATGGATACATCATCCATTACTATTATGATGATGGTTGGTTGTACAGTCAGACATTTTTACTGGATTTGGTAATTTTCTCCACCTATCAAGTTCTTTCCAAGGACATGGAATAGGCAGATATGATTGTTTCATGGTGGTTAAAGGTATTGCAGCATGTAAGCTGTTCCAAGTACAGATATATTTTGCTATAATTGTGACTAATGGTGATTCTGTCAAAGTCAACGGTGTTCAAATGGTGCTTCAGATGTATTGAGAATGTGCCCATGGTACCTATTACTATGGGTAGTAACTTTGCTTTCTCTTGCCAGTTGTTCTACTTCTGTTTGCAGGTCTTTGTATATTGTGATTTTCTCCAATTTTTTGTCTTCTATTCTGCTGTCTTCAGGTATTGCAATTTTCACTATCCAGACATTTTTGAGTTTCTTATCAATAACTGTTAAGCCTAGTATGTTATCTGGCAGGTGCTTGTCTGTTTGAATTCTAAAGTCCCAGAACACTTTAGCTTCTTAATTTTCTATTATTTTGTCTATTTTGTGGCCCCAGCAATACTTGCTTGCAGGTAAATGGTATTTCTTGTAGATATTCCAATATACCATTATTACATTGTTTTTATTAGTGTAGCTACCATTGCCATTCTCTTGAGAACCAAGTCACCCACATGAGAAAAAAGCTTTACAACAGTAGAAACTGAAAACATAATAGCAATTCTACTTTACTAGGCCAAAATTTGTCTAATTACCATCTCATTTTCTACTAGAAGAAACTTTCAATACTTGAGAACAAGAGCTGTTCCATATTTAAAGATACATGGTCTTTGTATTTGGAGGCTTCATACAGCCTCCACCATGCCACCATGACTTGTATACAATGGCCATATGATTTGAAAAGAGGGTGGCACTGGACTTTCTTTTTGAATATGGAAGGGAAGATTGCAAGGCAAGTTTTCTTGTTTCAGGAAGAAGCCAACCTCACAATTTGTAATATATAAAATATAATAATAATGCACCCAAAACTTGATCTCAGTAGCCTGAAACAGTATCAAGTTGTTTGTCCTGAATAGCCATATAGGAATGAAGAGCTTCATTGTGCTGAAAAAACAGAATAGGGGCTGAGTCATCCAAACCTTTGTGTCTGATAAAATAATCTGGAAGCTGACTACCCATCCTCATGCCCACTGGTATTCTGGCATATGCAGAAAAAGCAAGAGTCCTTGAGTCTCTATGGAAATATGTAGGAATCAGACTCCAATAGGCTTATAAAGAAGAGTGGTGACATACTTCTTCTTGTAGCGATGAGTGGCACTAAGCACCATGACACCATCCTATGGGAGAAAACACAAGAGAGCAGTTAAATAAGTATAACACTTGACAGTAATTATTATAGAGGAAACAGATTAATCCACACAATTTTATTATCTGGGAAATATTTCATATGTGTGATTTCATTTTCTATCTTCCTCCAAAATTTTTAAAATAAAGTGAGTGGAGAATAATATATACAAGATGCCTCCTTCTAGGAAACCTGAGAGGAAACAATCATGCACCAATGATATGGCACCAATGCAAAACAACCCACAAGAGGGAGAGAAGCTAAAAGCCTCAGGCATTACTGGATTTTCACATTTTGGTTTCTTTACAAACATTTCCATCCTACTTGGAAATCTGAAATGTTGAACTGGACAAGAAGTCAATTTCTTCCATTCTTATGTAGAGCGAGTAGTGTACAGCAAGATGTACAGCAAGATGTGGTAGAGTACGATAAGAACAGACATTAGATTACCTTAATGGAGAGTGCATAGAGGTGGTTTAGCATCACATGGTTTGGCTCTGGTAAGAGGGCAGGGTCACACTGAAAGAAATACAGGACTCTCATCATGCAACTATTTCCTGTTCATTAATTATCTGTCAAAACACCATTTCAATCTGGACATTTATGCAAAATTATTTTACACACATATCACCACAGGTAGGCATAGACTATCTTGTTCCAAGATTCTGATTTGAGAATTTTGTGATCATGAAGTATCAGGGGGAAAGACAGGGGTGGAATTCTACCGGTTTGCACCAGTTCTACAGAACCAGTTGTTAACATCACCGGTAGTTCTAAGAACTGGTAAAATGGACCCCTGGCTGGCCCCGACCCTCTCAGCCGCTCCTACGCTCCAAAAACCAGGGTTTTTTTATGTATGGATTTTGTTTTTAAGAATGATAAAAACAGCAGACCTACTGAAAACCTGCATGCATACATAAATGGAAACAAAATGTTACATTGTTGTTATATATTGATACTTGCTTCTGCTTTGCTTTTTCCTAATAGGAAAAAGCACAGGAGAAAGAAACATCAAGATGAATAGTAAAATAATTTTATTTATGTATTTATTTATTTATTTAATATCTGTTTTGTTTTTATGATTAATAAAAACAAAAACAGATACTAAATAAATAAATAAATACATAAATAAAAAAGCAACTTACCAAAAATGAGGCAGGCAACTTCTCATTACGTTGTTGTTGTTATACATTATCTGTTTCTGCTTAAATCAATATATAGCAACATCAATGTAACAAAAACCTGCATGCATACATAAATGGATTTTTTTAAAAAAATAAAAAGTTTTTTTTAAAAAAACACAAACATAAACAAAACAAACATAAAACATAAACCATCTTCAGTTACATACAGTGTGTCGGTTGCTACAAATCACTTGTGCACAATCTCTGCAGTCTTTCCCTTCCAATTTGCATTAATCCTTATATCATAAATCCACTATATATATTTATATTATTACTATTATTATTTACTTAGTAGACTTTACTAATATTACATCATTTTATGCGAGTAAATCATCATTTTTACTTAATCTACTTTATAATGTTCATTTCATCATCACTAATCTATTCTATAACAATATATCCTTACTTTACCTTACCTCTGTAATTCTATTATACTTATATTATAAAGTATTATAAAATATTTAATAAATGAAAATTGTTTTGTTATACTGTTGTTACATATTGATACTTATGTTTCTGCTTTGCTTTTTCCTAATAGGAAACAAATATCAATAAGTACAGCAGTGTAACAGAAAAATTATTCAAATTCCTTTGTATTGGCTTATTTTTAATTTTGTTAATTATATCAACGTGCTTATAATTATCAAACTTCTGTATTTAATTCATATATAGCAATGATCATTTTCCACCTAATTTCTACATCTTATCTCTATCCATTTCTGCACATTGTAATTTTTTAATTTCATTTCATCTATGGGGATCTCTTCTTTTTTCCACTGTTGTGCAAACATAATTCTAGCCGCTGTTAACACGTGTAACATTAAATATGTATTTAATGTTTATTTATGTGGGTACCAACATATATGTTTCTGGTTTTAAAATTTAAATCTATATGTTGCTTTACCATTTTTGTTAACCTTGACACTACATCCTCTTGAATAGCTACACTAGCAGAGCCCAATACTGAATTCATATATTCCAGTTTTTTAAACTGAGGAATAAATTTCAGAAAAAGAATTCAGTATTGCTCTGTGAATATGCCTATCAATTCCATTCTTAATCTAACTTCTTAGATGATTTTGTACTATTATCTTTTTTTTTTTGGTACTATATATATCTGCATATATATCTGAAGCTGTAAAAAGCTTCAGTACATTTTTAAGCTGCATTCTAAAAAGGTTAGGTGACCAAACATGGCTTCCCCTGGCTTCTCTCTCTCTGCTATAGAGAGAGCATTCCATTAGGGACTGTTGGTAAGTAGTCTTGGCTAGGAAAGATTTTTGTGCCACTACTGGCACAAAATAACAAACTCCCTTGGTTTGTTAATAGTATTTCCATTTTAAGTGTTTCTTTTTCAATTAATGAATTGTAATTATGAAAATATCAGCCATTCTTTTATATACACAGTGCAACATCTTTTTTATAGACTGTCATTTTCAAATCCACTTTCAGTTCCGTCTCAGTCTTGTCTGGTGAAACTTGTTCCTCTTCCATAACATCTTTTAAACACTAACACTAGATATAGTGTCAGGGACTCTTAAAAGTAATTGAATATTACTGATCTCCATTCCTCACCTGCTTTCTTCACTTGCCACTGCCTTCACCACTCAACTTACAACAATCGAGTCCAAACCTACATTGTTGAATTTTTTTTGCAGCATATTACCAAAATCAAAAGGCAAATGAGTTTGTCTGCTTTCTTCGGCAAGAAAACAAAAGGAGATCCCAAAAAGTCACAACTGCAACCATTGGAGTCTGAGGATAGTGGTGCCAGCACATCATCCACACCATAACCAGAGGAAAGAGCCAGCATATCATCCACATCTCAACCAGGGGAAAGAGCCAGCACATCATCCACACCGCAACCAGAGGAAAGAGCCAGCACATCATCCACATTGCGACCAAAGGAAAGAGCCAGCACATCATCAGGTACTGGAAGAACTGAATCAGACATTGAAAGGAACCTTCCTGACTGCTGGACACTGCAACAGTACAATAATTTTAGGGGAAAAATTTTTCCCAGAAAAAAATAGGTTGCAAGCATTGCAGAATATTTGAAATTTCGACCAAAGAAAAAGTGTCCATGGAGCTAAGGAGTGGAAGAATTACCAAATTGAACCATCAAGGAAAGAGTAAAGAAATACAACAAGCTTCCTTCAGAAAGAAATTGAAGGAACATTTCTCATCTAAGGCTCACAACATTTGTACAGAGAAGTTGAAGCAATGTGAGCAGGATGTCATAAGCAAAGGACTGGAGAAGATGACTGAGAAATATCTGGGTAGTACACGTAGAGTGTTTACTACAGTGTACAGTGTCAGCCTTCAAAATTTCTTTCCTTTGCTTTGCATCTTTTGGCTGTCATAAGTAACGGTGGGGGGGAGGGGTGAAATAGTTATGGGAAGCGAGCTGGAGGTTTGAGAGAATAAACTGTATAAGTTTTGGGGGGGGGGAAAGTTTCTTGTTTATGCTTCTTTCCTATGCTATGTGCAAGTGCACCTCTTTATCAAAATAGGCCCAGGTCAACGGATAGAAGCCTCATCACCACCTGAAGATGGCCACATGACATCACATATAAATTTTAATTGGATGGACAGTTTGAACTATTGTAGGTGGGACCGTTGCATCACTTTGTATATGTGATTTTCGCGCTCATTTCCTCAGATTCAGAATTCCTTTGATGCTACCACTTGATTTCCAGTAAAAGATATATTTTCTCTAATTAATGGAGTCTGTTTCTTTCTTGGATTTTGAATGGAGCACCAGCTGACATATAGTCTGGCACAAACGTGCAGAACATTTTCATATATAGAAGATTTGATTGAATTACAAATGAAAAATGGTTTCGATTTGGGAACAGGGTTGCATTCATGTAAAACTGCAGTTGCAATAGTAGATTTCATTGTAAAAGACATCAGGAAACATTTATTTAGCAAAATTATTGAGAAAACTCACAAAATTTGTTTGATAATTGACGAAGCCTCAACAATATCTTCCAAATTCTTATACTGTAATTAAAAGTTAAGGATCCAGCTTTCTCACCAACAATTTTCCTTGAACTAGTAGAATTACAGATACAGAGACGATATGTTGTTCGGTTATAGAAAGTTTGAATAAAGTTGGGTTTAATGAAAACTATCTGGAGAAACATTTAATTGGATTTTGCTCTGATGGAGCCAGTGTTATGCTTGGGAGAAAATCTGGGGTAAGCACTAAGATAGCCAAATAGTTTCCAAATATTATAATATGGCACTGTTTAAACCATCGCCTGCAACTTGTTTTAGATGATTCTATTAGGGAAATAAAGCAAATCAATCATTTTCAAATTTTTATTGATAAAATATATTCTATTTACCATCAATCGAATAAGAACCTAATTGAACTTAACAAAATTTCCAAACAACTTGAGATTGAAATTATAAAAATTGGTAGAGTTTTTGGACCAAGATGGGCTGCCTGTAGTTTAAGATCAACCCTAGTTGTGTGGCGGGCTTATCCAGAGCTACATCAGTTTTTCTGTTCAAATAAAAAATACTCCGGTATGGCTGCCTGTCTTGAAAACACATATTTTCTCACTGATTTGGCCTTGATGATTGATGTGCTAACTGAAATATCTCTTCTTTCTAATGCATTGCAAGTGAGAAATATAGACATTATAAAGGCTGAAAAACCTGTGATAAGATCAATTAGATCATTTGAAATGCTTATAGAGGAAAAGGGTGCATATGAAAAAAAGGTTGATGAATTAATTACTTCAGAAACCTTTAAAAATATAAATTTTATACAAAATAATCGATTTGTGGGACTTCCTCATGAAAAACTTATAGAAAGCATTGTAACTAATTTGAGGAAAAGATTGATGGATTGCGAACATTTAAAAACAGGCTGCCAATTCAAAGACACTGATCAATTAAAATTTCTAAATTATTTGGAGCCAGATTATTGGAACATTGAAGAAGTGGTGGTTCCATGGAGTGCAGCTGAAGAACAATTGGTTGCATTTGGTGAAATTTTCAATTATGAAATCAATATTAATGATTATCATGATTTCATAGAAAATGTACTAAAAGATACAATTCCATGCAGCATTAAAAAGGCTAGAGATATTATTAAAACTATTGCAGTCAGTTCAGCAGAGGCAGAAAGGGGCTTCTCGCAGATGAACATAATATGTTCAGAGGGCAGAAGTTGCCTTACAGTTTCCAATATTACAAACCTCCTGACCATCACTCTAATTACCTCTGCAAGAATGGGACCCTGTTCCTATAATAAAGAAGTGGTTACAGGCACATCACACAGCTGATGATGCTCGTGTTAAACACAAGAAAACTGTAACTCGGGACGATAATAGAAAAACAATTTGGCAGTACTTTAAATAAGTTTTATTGCTTTTTGTAAAGTTTTGTTATGTAATAGTTTTTGATTAATATTTTAAAATGTAACAATATAGTTTTGTGTACCTTTTTATTATTTAAGCATTAAAGGCATGACATAATAAACTACCTTTTGTTTTGGTATATCTTTTTTTAATACTGAGTCATTAGGGCAAAGAAGTGATGTTGACTTTGCCTCGCCCAGCCCTCTGCAGCCCTCCCCGTAGCTCCCCAGACCTCGCCCAGCCCTCCTCGTAGCTGCCCGGGCATTGCCTTGCCCTCCCCGTAGCTCCTTGTAGCTGCCTGGGCCTCGCCCTGCCCTCTCCAGGACTCCCCAAGCCTTGGAAACTGGCAAAAAACACTTTCTAAGCAACTGGCCATTAAGCGAGGACCTGTTCATTAAGCGAGGACCACTTACATTTGGTTTGCCAGTCACATGGCCACCTGGCCATGCCCACCCCAGTTACATGACCACCAAGCCACACCCACAAATTAGGCCACGCCCACAGATCCGGTTGTTAAGAAATTTGAATCCCACCCTGGGGAAACATGATTATTATAATTTTATTCTTATGATTAAATTTGTATTTCTCTTGATTCCCAATGACACCTGCCTACTCACAAGTAAAAATATTTTTTTAAAAAAATTACAATTAAAAACAAAAGTAGGAAATAAAAGATAGTAAGATGACAGAGCCAGACTTGAATGGAAAAAAAAAAGAATTCAAGGTGGCTTAACTCACCCTTGTCATAGGCCTGGGAGATAAACTACATCTTCTGGCCCTTTGAAAGACCAGTAGGATGGAGGCCATCCAGGTCACAAGGGGAAGATTCCAGAGGGCAGGCACTGTGACAGCGAAGGTGCGTTTCCAGGGTCTTGATAGATGGCAATGTTTAATTGAAGTAACCCGGAGCACCCACATTGAATTGGTAGAGCTGGTGGAGATAGGCATTTAGGAACTGGTACTCACGGAAATATTAGTATCCTTGTTAAGGATGACTTGAAGAAGATGTGGAGGAAGAATTGGTGGAGATTTAAATCGCTCTTCAGGCCGATATACATACATATCTTGGCCATAAATTCCAGGAGGGGAACCAGAAAGTTCTAAAGAAAATTAAACAGTATTGAGTTAAAGTAACCAGCTCATCATTTTTAATATTCATGCTAGAAATGGAAGAAAAGTCACCTCGATAGGAAGTCTCTGAACTTTCAAGGGAGTCAACTTTTAAAGCATCAAACACTTCAAAATCCGATTTTTTGACATGAAGCAAATTGTTTATTGTTCCCATCTGACTGGTCACTACAGGCTAAAAAAATAGAAGACAGAATTAAGAATTTATATAAACTCAAATATCTTCAACACAGAGATTTTGCTCACAAAACAAGAACTGTATAAAGGCTGTTCTGATCATGTTCACATTCTAGATCCAACTCCATAATGCTCAATCATTTACATTTCAGACTAGAGTAAAAGGGGGCATACCACCAGTTTTAATTCAGTTCAAATTCTGCTTTACCTGTGAACTCACTTTGGGAACTTTTGTCATTTTCTTCATACCCATGTTTCCCCGAAAATAAGACTGTCTTATTTTATTTTGGGCTCCAAAATAAGCACAAAATTATTTGGGGGGGGGGGGTCTTAATTTTTTTCCATATACAGGAGGCCCACCTCTTCTGCTTGCTTGCAGCAGGGCAGGAGGTTGCATGGTGGTGCCAGTGTCGCCACGAGGGGCCCTTGCAGCCAGGCCATTCCTGCCTTGCCTCATGGCAGTGGTACTAGCAGCCCCGTCCAGCAGGATCCTGTGTGACTGCCAATCCAATTCTTCTGCTTGCTTGCGGCTGCAATAGAGCAGGAGGGCAAGTGACATGCTGGTGCTGTGGTCATGAGGCGAGGCAGGGAGAGCTGCCCAATGTGCCCTGCACAGGCTTACCTCAGGGCCCCTGCAGCCAGGCCATTCACACCCCAACACCTGCCTCACCATGCGGCTGCAGCACCAACACACCATTCAGCCTCCTGCTCTGTTGCAGCTGTGAGGAAGCAGAAGTGGGCTGGTGGCCACATTGACTACTAGTGCTGCTGCTGTGAAGTGTGGTGTCAGGGCATGGATGGCCTGGCTGCAGGGGCTTTGAGATAAGCCAGTGTGGGGTGCATGAGAGCTCCACCACCACCTTGCGTCACCTCATGGCCATGGCATCACAAGCAACCAGATGGAATGGGTAACTGATCGGCTGTGCAAGCTCTTAAATAGGGTTTATTTTGGGTGTAGAGCCTATATTAGGCATACACATAAAAACTTGCTAGGGCTTATTTTTGGGATAAGTCTTATTATGAACTGCTTTGCTTCTTTGCTTTTCAACCTGCCAATGAACTAGGGGAGGGAGATGGCATGTGGAGAATGTATGCAGAGATCATGAGAACTTGGACCCAGCAGAAAGAGATGGACCATTCTCATAACAAAAGACCAACTCATAATTGGACAATGTGATCAACCAGGGATGGGGAGAAGGAGAAGTGTTGTTTAACTGGGCAAGCATTTTCGCAGGAAACCAGAACTGGTTTTGTTTCTTCAGTACCAGCATGGTGTATTCAAAAAAGTTTTACTTTTGGGAATTCAATTCTCTCAAGAGTGTTTCCTTGGTTCCCGAAGGCCATTTGCAGCCTGGAATGCTGGCTTATTTAGATCTGCAAACAGCAGCAACAAATCAACCTTTGTTACTGTCAGACCTGCCCCAATCTGATCCCTTAGAAAAGAAAGACCGTCTCTAAATTTGTTAAAGCAGAGGGTTCTTTTTGGTGTTGGCTGCAGTAAACTCAGGCTAGCTCTGAATTTTCTTGCACTCACTAGATACAGAAAGGTTTGGCTGCAACCCATCCCTCCCCCCATGACCACTATGTTTCCAGCTAATCGGAACTTACCAAAATGCTTTGAGAATGCTAATGCAGGTAATCCACAAATTTTCTCAGGATGCCAGACCTCGTGATGCTAGTACAAACTGGATCCAGGCTGCTCTGTCTTTATCACCTACCATTCCCCCCTCTCTATTTCCCATCATGTACATACACAGTTTTATTGCCCTTCCATTCTCCCCCTTCCAGCCTTTAATGACAGAATGCCTGAGAGAATGCCTATACTGCATAGGCTTCCTTGTCCCAAACTGCCCATCTCCGCTACATCTCAATTAGGTTTTAAGAAGTGTAGGTTCATGGCTGTAGGACCCCTTGCTCATTTTCCTGCAGAAGCACTGCACCCACTGTGACATCATGGGCATCAGCCTGAATGACAAAGCTCTGGGTGTTTCAGCACTAGCTCCACTGCAAATAGGTGCTTAAGCTTTTCAAATGCAGCCAGGCACTCCATAGTCCATTTTTGTGGTTGGCTGGGCTTGGATTTTCCCTCCCCTTTTGTCTTTAGAAGATTATCTGGGCAAACAAGGGAATGAACTGGCAGTAAAAGTTTGCAAATCCCAGGAAGCTTTGTAGTTGCTTCTGGGTGTGGGAAGGAGCCCACTTTAGCACTGCCTGCACCTTTTGCTTTTCTATCTTCTGCCATGGCCCTCACAGGTGAATGTCACTCCCATCGGTTACTCTTCCCACTCTTTCTTTTTTCCGACCCACCAAGGAAAGGATCTGGGTGAGTTGTCCTCTCCCAGCCACTTGGATAAATCCAGCCCTCCAGGAGGGGTTTTTGAGAGGCTTCCTGGTCACTTCCTTGAGCTGACTTCATTTGCACGATCCTCATGGTTGAAGTGTTTTCCACTCTGGGTTGACCACAACTGCAGAGCTAGGTTAATGTTAGATTGCCCCAATCTGATCCCTTAGGAAAGAAAGACACTTGACTCCATTTGGTTAAAACAAAGTGCTCTTTTACTTTAAGGTGTTAGCTGCAGTAAAATGAGACTAGCTCTGAATTTTCCCATGCTCACAAAATACAGAAAGGTTTGCCCGCAGCCCATACCATTCCTCACAACCAGTCTGTTTCCAGCCAATATGTTTTGAGAATGCTAACATGTTTGGAGTAATCTCTAGATTTTCTCAGGGTGCCTGGCCTTGGGATGCTGATACAAAACTGGATCTGGGCTGCTCTCGTATTTATCATCTGTCATTCCTCCTCTCTATTTCCCATCATGTACACACACAGCTTTATTGCCTTTCCATCCTCTCCCTGCTTCAGCCTTTGATGGCAGGATGCCTGTGAGGTTCCAAGCCTTACTTCATCCATACTCATGCTCTGCAGGGCATCTCAATCATCAGGGTGAAGACAAATAGAAGAAAACAGAATTACCTCAGAGGGATCATGAACCCACTGGCCATCCACAAAAAACTTGTACTGGTGTTCACCTTCAGGAAGATCCAGAATAGCAACAAAGTCATTATTGCTGAAAGAAGATAGCGATCCACAATGAGAAACACAGCATATATATATATATATATATGTATATATATGTGAACTGTGAGGACAATTATGCAGCGAAGCACCCGCCTCTTTAAGTTATAGGTGCTTTCAAGAAAGGTTTGGGTGGCATTTTTTCCAAGATGGAATGAGGATTACTGCAATGGGCAGGCAGTTCAATTAGATGACCTCCAAGATTTCTTCTAATCCTATGGAGCTGATTTAACAGGACTGCTCAAGAAATAATCGTTAAAGAGAAAAAGTAATCAATCTCTTTAGAATGAGACATGAACAGGTCAAAGTCAGTCTGGCCATTCTGGATAAAGGAGGTGTAGATGAGACTGAAAGGTGTCCCTCACTTGGGGATGCTCTAATCTGTTTAGCCAATGGCCTATCAGCATTGACCTAGAAATCTCCCAGATGGCCGAGGAGTGCATCTTAACCATCTGAACATCTTCAACCAGAAGGAAGTATGTCCAGACAGTCTTAATCTAAATGGGAGGACTAACATATCCATCACAAAACTTTTTGCCTCATTTTAAGCCGCTTCCCATACTTGTACCTCTTTCTCAAATAGTATCAAATAGAGAGTTTGATGGATTTGGGAGCAGGAGAGAGCAGATTTTCAGAAAACCAGCATTCATCCTTAATTGCTAAACCTTTACACTTCAGACTTGACTTTTAAAACTAGACTGTCACTCTGTCAACATTTCAAAAATGGGATTCTTCTGGACAATAGATGATGTTCATCAGTTTCTCCTTCTATAAGTCATGCCGTATTTTTTATTTCTTCATAAAGCAGCATCTTTTTAAAAAGAAAAGGAGTCACATAAGAAAGTTTCAAATGTTACTGCTTAGTAAAAATGATAACACTGTAGAAAATAATTTGAAACTTGGTGTCCATGTTTTTCTTGATTGGGTACTCCACTGTGTCAACTTCAAACTGAAGCACACAATGGCACAAGTGCAATAAGGTAAAAAGTACTGATTTGGATGTTGAAATATTCAGAGAGACATTTCATTTGCTAAATTTCAAATTGTTTCTGGATTTGAAGATAATTTCCCCCTCATTTAGTGAAGTTTGAAAGAGCAGACTAAATCACTGCAACATCTATCACTGTTATACTGCATTCTCTATTTAATTCTGAATCTAGAATGCTGTCAAAGTGCCAATCTATAGAGGCATTTCATTTTTTAGAAAGAATCTGGTGAATATTCTTTTGCTTGTGGAATGGCAATAGCAATAGCACTTAGACTTATATAGCACTTCAGTGCTTTACAGCCCTCTCTAAGCGGTTTACAGACTCAGCATATTGCCCCCAACAATCTGAATCCCCATTTTACCAATCTTGGAAGGATGGAAGGCTGAGTCAACCTTCAGCCAGTGAGAATCTGGGAAGACACCTGTTTTCTGGCTGTAAGGATTTGCTATCAGGGACACTAAGATGTTTGAAAGGGGGAGAGAATGAAAAAAACTACAGTTGGTCTATTGAGACAAAATCAGACAAAACGTTCCACACTTTTCACATATCATTAGTTTTAGAGCCAGAAAATTAAGCTGGAGCTTACAAGTACTGCTATGTACTGGTCTATTTATGTACTGCTGTATTGTAAGCAGCAGTCATGCCTTATAGGGAAATGGGCAGCATAAAAGTATAATAAATGAAATGAAATAAAATGAAATCGACAAGTCAGAGTGAAAGACACTGAGTTCCTTTGTGGTGGATAATATAAGTTGTATTTGACTTCATGGAACCTAGTACTATCCTGTAAACAGTGGTAGGATTCAAATTTTTTTACTACCAGTTCTGTGGGTGTGGCTTGGTGGGTGTGGTGTGACTTGGTGGGCATGGCAGGGGAAGGATACTGTAAAATCTCCATTCCGATCCCACTCCAGGGGAAGGATACTGTAAAATCTCCATTCCCACCCCACTCTAGGGGAAGGATACTGCAAAAGCTCCATTCTCACCCCACTCCAGGGGAAGGATACTGTAAAATCTCCATTCCCTCCCCACTCCTTGGGGAAGGTTACTGCAAAATCCCCATACCCTCCCCACTCCTGGGAAGTTTACTGCAAAATCTTATACCCTCCCTATCCCACTAACCTGCTTTCCAGCTCCTTTCTCCTGTGCAGGGCAACAAAAGAAGACTCAGCCGATCAGCTGGGACTTGGGAGGCAGTTAATAGATGGGGGCGGGCCCAGTCAGAGGTGGTATTTGTCGATTCTCTGAACTACTCAAAATTTCCGCTACTGGTTCTCCAGAACTGGTCAGAACCTGCTGAATACCACATCTGCCTGTAAGCCAACAGAAAACTATCTATTTTCCACTTATTCTCAACAAAAATACTCTTATCCTGACCTGATCTGAAGTTAAGATGAAATAGATTAAAACCAGGGGTGGGATTCAAAAACCAAGGGTGGGATTCAAAAACCAGCAACTGGTTCACTACCCGGTTGCTGGGCCATGGTGGGTGTGGCCTACTGGAACTTCCTGTTTCCAGCTTCCAATGGGCCTCCAGAGCCCAGGGGAGGCCATTTTCACTCTCCCAGGTTTTTCCAGAAGCCTCTCCTGGGCCTCTGGGAGAGCGAAAATGGCCTTCCCCAGGCTCTGGAGGCCCAATTGAAGCTGGAAATAGGCCCGTTTCACGACTTCCAGTTTTTCTGAGACGGACGTCTTTTGCCCTCCCAAGGGTCTGGAGGCCTCTCCTGGGCCTCTGAGAGGGCAAAAACGGCCTCCCCTGGGTTCAGGAGGCCCTCCTGAAGACAGAAACAGGGCCGTCCAGACTTCCAGAAAGCCCATTTTTCCTCCTCCCAGAGCCTCCGCGCAGACCCTGCACTTATTTCCTTCAAAAATGGGCCATGTGGAGACTCCTGGGAGGGGTGGGTGGGGCCAGCTGGTTGGTTGAAATACCAGTTCGGCGAACTATCCAAACATCTGGTTCTCCTGAATCGGTCCAAACCAGTAGAATCCCATCCCTGGGTACTACTGGTTCTTACCTATTTGCTAGAACATTGTTAATTTTCTAAGCAGTTTGGAGAACTGGTTGTTGGAAGAAATCTCCTTTTGTTTTTCCCCACTTTACAAGGCTAATCCTGTAAGGAAGGCAGGAAGGAAACATTCTGGTGTTGTTTCTAGCCTAATCTTTATTTCCCTGCTTACAGAAACTGCCTCTCCATTAACTCTTATTACATTCTTGGCGGTACGCCTAGACTTCCTATTGCCTAAGCTCTGGAGGTTTTTTTTTCCTTTGGTGATACGTTGCTGGGGCTTGACTTTCTTAAAGGGGAAAGCTTTTTACACTGCTGTTGGGAGGAAATATTCCCCTTGAAATACTTCCAGCCAGGATGCAATGATCATCACTTTGAAGAAATAATTGAATAACGAAGCAGAGCTGCCGGAAAGGAGCTTTTAATGACAAGGAACCAAGATGAGTGACATTCAGTAAGGTTTCTTGGCTAGCTAGAAAGATTGACATTCAAATGTGAGTTTTGGTCTAAAACTGATTTTTGGTGACGTTTAATTCTGTGCTTGGTGACGTTTAATCTTGTGTTTATTGATGGGATAATTTTCCCTATTCAGCTTTGTTTGGAAGGAAAAAGGTTAATCTCTGTTCTTGAAAAGAAACTGGATTGAGAAATCTGGCTAGTTCCTGTGTCTATTTGTTTTGTTAATTGGTTTAACAAGCGACAGCTACTGTTGTGATTTAATTATTTGTATTGTGTTTGAATTTTTTTCCTGCCTCATGGTTTCTTTTTCTATCTGGGGAGGGGGGTCTTCCTTCACTGCTTTAGTGGTTCCTGGCACTGTCCTTTTGAGGTGTACTTCCAAGGGGCAGGATGCAAGCTTGGCACTGATTTTTTACTGCCTTTCTGGGTGGCATGTGATCTTTCCTTAAACCTGGATGATTTCCTTAGGATAACTTGTGAGGTGAGTGAGACCAGCTGGCATCTTTAAGTGGTACAAATGAATCTAAGGATTGCTTCTCCTGGGTGTGTTCTTTCTGGAGAGCTTAAATGACTTCTCTGCTAAAGGGTTTTACTTTATGAGCAAGAGTTGGCTGCTGATAGTTATCATTGCATTTTACCTATTTTAATTCCTCAGGGTGCTTTGGCACCCTGCCTGATTTGTAACTCCAGCTTGCAGGTATTTTTAATCTAATGATTGTTATTTAGGGCAGCTTTTTGCAAGCAAAGAACCTTTTTGTATTTTTGTACAAGTAATCCTTGATTTACAACAGTTCATTTAATGACCATTTAAAGTTACAATGGCACTGAAAAAAGTGACTTAAGACCGTTTTTTGCACACAACTGTTGCAGCATCTCCACGATCACGAGAGGCCAGGCGAGGAGAAGAGCCCCTTGATGTGACAGATGTCGAGCTGGCGATGCCCACCCAGTCACATGACCACCCAGTCATGCCTACCCAGCTGGTCATTAGGGCAGAGAACCAGTTGTTAAATTATTTGAATCCCACCACTGATTAAAACTTTATTTCAGTATTTTTTTTAGAAAAGAGATTGATATATAATTAATGTTCATTATTTGCTGCTTTATAAACTAGCCCAGTCTGGTTCCTGTAAGATTCTTGGAACTGACAATGAGTTAACAGTATACAAAGTGATTTAAGCATTTTTTTTATATAGACATGTTTTCATTCAGATCCAGAAGGCTTGGATCTGCTATCATTAAAATAAATGTTATTTTACAGATGTTAAGGAATCCTCTACTTCTGATATCTGATTCATTTCAGAATTTCTACATGAAAACAGCATATTTTAGCCTTAGTTGGGCTTAAAATATTTAACCAATGCTTCTTCCCCTGTGTAGAATAAGAGTCAATGCTCCCCCTCCATAAATAATATTGAGCAAAGTTTTTTTTAAAGAATCACACATCACCCTGTTTCACCTCTTAATGAGAGGAATCTTAGTGCTCCAATTGTTGAAAGAGCCTGAGATGAAAACTTCTTTGCCTCCATCTGTCCAGCGGATGACTGTGGGACGAGCCTGCTGGGATGGTTTAACTGACTCATCCAAGTCATGGTGCCACGATACAAACTCTTTTTCTCCAAGAAGCTGCAGAAAGAAGGAAAGTTATATCTTGTCCAAGTCTTCCTGAAAATTGAAATCTTATTTCCTAGATTTAGGAATAATCAAATGATGAATGAGCACCTTTCCAATTTATTTTAAGCATTATAAAGGAGAGAAATCGATAGAATTACTTAAGGGCCATAAAATGGCCAATTATGTCATAAATTAATGTTTAAAAAATCGTAAAAAAGCATCATCCAAATACTGTACCTTAGATTCATGGGTGCTGAAGATGTTGGGGTCATCAGTGCTGCCAACCATGATCTTGTGTGAATGATCTTTGGCATGGTGGACGGCTCCCTCTGAGCGGTGAATCTTGGAACTGTGGCGCTCACCTGACATCCTTTCACTTGTAGTGTTCCCCATGGCTCCACTGCAAGAAGGTAGCAAAAGAAAAGAATTAGGGCCAATAACAATTTCACAGACATAATGTAGTCCTCTATTTCCAAAGAAGCTAGAGAGGAGTGCTGCATTTTCTTACAGGTGGTGGGTAGACAATAAGCTACTTCAGCCATGAGAAAGAATGCGAAAGAAATGCAGCAATCAACAGACTTCCAAAATCAATAGCAGAATTGAAACATTCATAACAATATTAAAGTCACTGAACAGGAAGCTGACTATTAAGTATCCCTGTTTGCTCCAAGTATCCAAATTAAAATATTCCAGAAAGATGTCTAGATTCTCCTTTAAGACACTATATGAAGAGAAGTCCACTATCTCCCAGGATAACTGGTTCTACTGACAAACTGGTCTTACCATTGAGAAATTTTTCTAACATAGGTTGGAAGTCCATTCTTCCAATTCATTCAAGATATTTGAAGAACCCTATCATACCCATCATCACTCATCTCATCTCTAGTTTCTTCCTTCTCTCTTCATAAGACATAGTTTCTTGATTATATTGGTTGTCCTGCTGTTCAACCTATTGTAAAGGTTCCAACTAACGAACCCAAATAAATAAGAACTCTGAGGTCAAGCACTTCCTCAAAGAACTTCTTTATTGGGTAAATCATATCGGCATACTTCAAAGGAAAGCCAACTCTAACTTTCCCTGTGGTTGCAGTATAGTTAAAACCAGTAATGACCCCTTTTCCCAGTATCATTAATCACGTTGGCCAATTAGGTTAATTGGTGGGCTTCTTGTATATTCAACTCATCCTTCCTCCATCGCCCAGGAGATGACCTTTATTTTCCCAAGAAAGATCTATGTTGAATCTAGAAACACATTTCAGTCTCCTTCCCCACTTCCATGCTGTGTGGCAACGTTGAATCAGGAAAATGGCTTCTGTCAGGTTCAGTTCGGAGTTAACAGTTGGCTCCCCTTTGTGTGTGAGGAAACCTGGAAGGTATTGACACAGTTTAATCTTGCTCTATTCACCTCTCCCCTCCCCAAGCAGTTCATTTGGCTTCTGGGGATTCTTTTCATGGAATTTCCTAACCAATCTCTCTGCCTTCATGTCCTTACTTTTCACCCAGGTAGCTTCTGACAAAGGATAACCTTTCCATTGTGCTAGGTATTGGAGTCTTCCCTTATGGATTATAGAGTCTAAAATTCTTTTCACCTCATAATGGGTTTCCCCTTCCACTACAATCAGGCAAGCAGCTCGACTGGCTGGATGCTGATTTTGTTACTGGCTTCAATAAACTACTGTGGAAAACCAAATGCACTTTACCTAACAGGCAGGGAAGCTGTGACCAGGTTATTTGTATGATGAGGAAAGATCCTATAAATTTAGGACCCAGTTTCTTTCTTGGCAGCTTTAAATTTTAAATATTTGGTAGAGATAAACTTTCTCTCTGATGTGGAACAGCCTCTGGGGGGGGGGGGGGGGGAACCTTCTTTTAAGCCTGTTGCTTTTGTGTTTCACTGGCTTTAGCTAGGACTCACTTCACATTTCCCCAAGTGTTCTGTAGTGAGTCCACCCATTCTGTTAAGCTCACTGAGGAGGGGAATTCCTGGGGAAGTTCTGGCATGAGAACAAACTCTACTCCCATAGCTACCTTAAAGGGAGTAAGAACTGTACTGCTATGTACGGCATTATTATAGGCCACTTCGCAAAAGGCAATAGGTCTGCCCAATTTGTTTGTTGATAATTAAATGTAGCACTTCAATACTGCTCTATCATTGCATTAGCTCGTTCTGCTGCCCCATTTGTACTCAGATGAAAAGTTGAGCTAAGCCCCTGGGAGGACCTAATTAGCCTCACAAACTCCCTCCAAAATTTGGCCATAAATTGGAGTCCCTCCCCCCCCGGGTTGGATATGATTCTCCTTAGAATTCCATGTAGTCAGCAGGTATGATTCAGGAACAGTTTGGCTAGTTTCTGCACTGATGGAAGTTCGGAGCAGGATACAAAATGAGCCTGTTTGGAAAAAAGGTCAATTACTGTCCTCGCTGTTTCCCCCATCTCCAGTAATACTATGAAGTCCATTGTGATCTCCTCCCAGGGTTTGGATGGCTCAGCCACTTGTTGCAACAGTCCAGGAGGCTTCCCAGGCCATTTCTTCATGGCTGCACAAGTGGCACAGCTTTTCATTAGCTTTCAATGTCCTTTTTCATCCCCAGCCATCAGAACTGTCTCCTGGTGAAATGCCATGACTTTAGGAACCCAAAGTGGCTGGCTTGTTTAGCATTGTGATTCTTTTGAAGCACTTGAATCTAGAGGGTACTGGGGATGTATAATTTGGACCCCTTTCCTGCCATTTAATCTCTGAGGGTTAGGAGCTGACTGTTGTCCCTCAGCCTAAGGATCAGACCTTTAAGTTTCTGTGTAAACTCCCCCCCGCCCCGGCTTCCCTGACCTTCTCTGAAACTGTCATCTCGTCATCTTGTGCTGCCTTTTGTGTGAGGGGAATGATGGTGTTGATCACTTTCTCTCTCGGTTGCTCTTGTATTGATGCTGTCAGGACAAAGTGTTGGCTAGGAAAATCCCCGCTCCAAATGTACTTTAGGGAGAAGTCAAAGTGGTTAAAATACTGCACCCATCTGACTTGTTTGGGAGAAAGTTTCTGAGGGGTCCTAAGTGCCTCCAAATTCCTATGACCAGTCAAGACTTCAAATGGCACTTTACTCCCCTCAACAAAGTGACATGTTATCAGGGCCCATCAGACAGTGAACTCTTTTTCCCAAACTGCTCATCGTCTCTCAGGGTAGGTCAGCTTCCTGGAGGTGTATGCACCGGATTGTAGCTTCCCCTCCTGGCTTTTCTGGAGGAGCACTGCCTCCACGGCTACATCACTGCCATCCACCTGGATGACGAACGGTTCTTTGGGGTTCGGATGCTTAAGGACTGGTTCCTTTGCGAACAGCCACCTGAGCATCTCAAATGCCCTCTGGCATTCCATAGTCCATTCCAGTGGCTGACTGGGTCACAGCTTTGGTCCCCTTTTTCCAGTTTTCAGTAGCTCAGTGATCGGCAGGGCTATTTTGTTGAATGAGGGGATGAATTTCAAGTAGAAGTTTGCAAACTTGAAAGCTCTGCAGCTGTTGGTGGGTCTAAGGGGGTTGCCATTTCTATCCTCTCACTTGATACTCAATACCCTAGGTAATCTAGGTGGATGTTGTGAAACTCACACTTTGACAGCTTTGCATAGAGGTTTGCTGCAAGGAATATTTTGAGTACCTGGTGGACTAACTGGACATTTTCTTCTCCATAGAGCCGCTCGGAGCATCCAGAGTGGGAGGTGCTTCAGACTCCTCTCTCACAGGCTGAGCTTGAATTGAGGAATGCTCCTCCTCCTCCACGTGACTCCACGTAGCATTCCCCAGTTTTTACTCAGCCTCGTGAGAGACAGGCTGTTGTTAGAGCAAGCTCCTTGGCCGACTCAGGATTTCCTATTTCTTTCTCAAGATAAGGTTTGAATTATCTTTCTTTTAGCCCCTGCGCATTTGGTGGTAACCCAGGGGAGCGTTTTCTCTTGCCCCTAGGGGGAAAAAAGCGGGCGGGCTTGCAGCGCCTTTGCGCTAACCCCCCCATCCTTGATCTAATTGTTCTCCTGCCGCTTTCCACGCCGCCTTCGTTAGCGGCTCGATCTCTTGCGCTTTAAAGTGCCGCTGGTTTCCCCCCCCCCCACGAACGCCGATCGCTCAGGAAGAGCCAAATCTCTCCTGCGCGGCCCCCCTCGGCACGCTGAGCTCACCGGAGGAGCATAATTCCGTCCCGACACTTGCTCAGCTCACGGCCACCATTTTGGGCGCTGCCTCGTGGTCGGGCGCCATCTTGTTTCTCGCTGTTTCTGCTGCGGTCGATCTAGCCCTCAACAGGCCCCATCAGCAGGTCAAGAGCACTGTTTATAATATCGAATAACTGTTAATACCTGGCTTTGGTCTTTTATATTGTTGGCCCTTCCCGCAGCCTCACTCGGGGCGAAGTACAGCAGCACCCCCCTCCAGTTTTCGCCTGGAGGCCTTATCCCTTCTGGCCTCAGGCGTTCATTCGGCTAATTGGATAATTGGATAATCATTAATCATTAATCAGCTTTTCTCCTTCTAATTCTTGCTATCCACCTTCCACTGTTGCCCTCTTCCTTTGGGCCAAGATCCAAGTTATACCAGTTCAACTTATATAGTTCTGTTATAAAAAAATAAAAATAAAAAATAAAATAAAATAAAAATATATATATTCCAAAAAAAAAACAAAAAAACCCCAAAACAAATATATATATATATATATATATCTATCTATATATCTATATCTATATCTATATCTATATCTATATATATATATATATATGTATATGTATATGTATATGTATATGTATGTATATGTGTGTGTGTGTGTGTGTGTATGTGTATGTATGTGTATATATATATATATATATATATATAT